CAGCACAGGGTGTCTCTTCAAAGAAAGACAGTAAAAGATAACACTTAGAGACAGAGACAGCTGGAGACAGTTTCAGAAAGGCTGCAAGTTGCAGCGAGGAGACAGCTGGGCACTGTGTGTATGGTGCAGTGTAAGAAAGGAGACACCCCGAAGGAGGGGCGACGGAGACAGATTAAAAGGAGACAGACAAATAAACAAATAAATAAACAGCTGCAAGACATCCACCCACCTGTCTGCAGAAAGGAGACATGTATGCGTTGAGTTGGGGTGAAGATATAAGAAGGTAAGGAGACAAAATAAGTATTTAGAAACTTATGACTCGCACGATAAGACAGCAGACACGACAGCAGCCTGCAGCAGCAGCAAACAGAGACACAACACAAACGGAGACACCCCACATACAGCACTGTTCCTACAGCAGCGCTGTGGCAGAAGTGCTGCAGCAGCAGCGATGCTGCAGCAGCAGCGATGCTGCAGCAGCAGCGATGCTGCAGCAGCAACAGTAGAGAAAGAAGCAGCAACAGCAGCAGCTTTGCACCAGCAGCAACAGCAGCAGTGCTATCGCAGCAACAATAGCAGCGCTGCAGGAGTTGCAGCAGAAGCACCAGTAGCGGCAGCCGCCCTGCATACACCAGCAAGGTCAGCCTGGGTTCTGCAGCAGCAGCAGCAGCAGCTGCTGCTGCTGCAAGGTGCAGCAAAAGCAACAAAAGCAGCAGTCAGACCTACGCAGCCACCTTAGAGGCATGGGGATCTGTCTCCTTAGAGCGGGCCTCTCGCAGCAAGGCTTGTAAGGCTTCGGCTCCGGTGGAGCGACTGCTGCTGCTACTGCTGCTGCTGTTGCTTCGACCCCTGCTGCTGCTGCTGCTGCATAGCGCCTTGCCCTCAGAGCCAGCCCCTCCAGGCAGTGTTGCTGTAGAAGGAGACAGTTGGAGATCATCAAAGAGCACCTCAGCGAGTTGGCTGCAGCAAAACAACAAAGGAGACACTAGAGGCTCTTCAAGCCAGCAGCACATTGCTGCTGCAGCAAGTGCAGCAGCTGGAGCAACATGTTGCTGCTGCAGCAGATGCAGCAGGAGGAGCAGCAATGCCTTGCAAAAGGAGACACTTGCTGCGCGTTAAGGAGACAGCTGCTGAGGAGACAGTCTCTTGTCCCCTTACCTAGGCGAATTAATGTTTACCTCCCTCCTTCCTGTTAATGTCTCTATTAGCTTCGCTATCTGTCTCTCCAGCTGTCTCTGCTCCTCAAGAGCTTCGCTGGGGTCTCCTGTTGCTGCAGCACCCACGTCTTGGCTAGCAAGCCCATCCACAGCAGCAGCAGCAGCAGCAGCAGAAGCAGCATCAACAGGGCTAGGGACGCCTGCTGCTGCTGCTGCTGCTGTCTCCTCCGGGGTTGGGGATCCGATCCCCCTGTTTGATCGCCAGCCGCGCATCAGAAGAGACACTGAAAGAGACAAACCCCTTCTCTCTAGCTCAGCTAATACAGGTATAAGGGGCCTTTCTATATGTGCCCATACACCCCAAGAGAGACTAAGAGGCTGGAGATGCTGCGACGCTTGCTGCTCCTGCTGCTGCGGCTTGCTGTTATCTGCTGCCTGCTGCTGCTGCTGCTGCAGCAACTGCTGCTGCTGATGCAGCAGCACAAGTGTAGCTGCACCCCGGGCCTCACAGAAAGCTGCTACGTCGAGCATATTCAGCTCTTCAGGTTGTCTTGGGGGGCAGCAGCGCTTAAACTGAGGAGACAGCTTAACGGAGACAGAGAGACACCTGGGGATGCTAGGGGCTGTCTTCTTCGCCTTATGCTGCAGCGAGACAACCAAGGCTTCTCCAGCTGCTGCTGCTTCAGACGGAGACCCCACAGGCTGGAAAGACAGCAGCAGCGGACCCGATCCCTCTGCAGCTTCTGCTGCTGCTGATTCTGCTGCTGCTGCTGTTGCTGCTGCTGCTGCTGGTGACGCGGAGGCTGGACGCTTCGTGGAGGAGGCGGAGCTGATGCTGCAGCGGGGTGAAGTGTCTCCTTTGCTGTCTCCGTCTCTGTCTCCATCTCTACTTGCACTTTGCTTTGTCTCTGCTGCTGCCTTTCGATGAAGCACTTTGCTGTAGATGCCCCACCCGAAGCGCCCAAAGAGTCCCTGCTGCAGCTGCTGCTGCTCCGGTGGCAGCAGCACACTTCGTGCTGCAGCAAAGCAACGCCACGGTGGATGTACACCCCAAGGGCGCCTGGAAGCGCAGCTTCCAGGTGCAGCAGCAGCATCTGCTGCTGCTGCTGCTGCTCCTGCTGCAACTGATGGGGAGGCCTTCCTCTCACTCCCCTGCACTCCCGCAGCAGCAGGAGAAGCGACTCCTGCTGCTGCTGCTGCTGCTGCTGCTGCTGCTGCTTTTGTCATTGTTGTAATGATTAAGGAGCTGTATGGAGACGCTAAAAGAGAGGAGAGAGCGGTGTCTCCTTTCTTGTTAATCGAAATATCTGCAGCAACGCTCAACTGTCTCCTTCTCCCTCCTGCTGCAGCTGCGAGGCCAAAGGCACCCCGGGTGTCTGCTTTGTAGCTGCAGGGGACAGCCTCAGACAGATTTGCTGCTGTTGCTGCTGCTGCTGTTGCTCCTGCTGCTCGTGCTGCTCCTGCGTTGAAGCTCGCCACATCTGGCGTCCACTGCCGTTGCTGCTGCTGCTGTTGCTGTTGCTGCTGCTGCTGCTGCTGTTGCTGCTGCTGCTGCTGCAGCAGCTCGAAGAGCGCTGCTTGCTGCAGCAACTCGGAGTTGCCTGGGTCTGCCCCGTGCAGCAGCCAAGCAACAACAGATGTACACTGCAGCTGCTGAGATGGAGGAGAAGGAAGATTGATATTACGCAGCAGGTGCAGCAGCTGCTTCGCGTCGTGTGCTGCCCACAGCACACGGGGCCCCACACCTGCTACACCTGCTGCTGCTGCTGCAGTTGGTGCCACTTCTGCTGCTGTTGCTCCTGCTGGCGTCGGTGCTGCTGCTGGTTCTGCCGATGTTGCTGCAGCGCCCTCCGCCTCCTCGGGTGTATCTGCAGCAGCAAATCCAAGCTGCGGCCCCACAGGGCTGCAGCAGCTCAAGCAGCGACGCAGCACATGCATGGCAGCAGAGTCTCTCCGCAGTTGAGGCACAGCAAAGTGAAAGTGTAAGATATCTTCAGTCTCCCCGAGTAGTTGCTGCTGCTGCTGCTGCTCCAGCTGCTGCTGCTGCTGCTGCTGCGGCACCAGCTGCTTCTCCATCAGCTGCTGATCCTGCTGCTGCAGCACTACATGCTGCCGCTGACCCTGCTGCTGCTGCTGCTGCTGCTGCTGCTGTGCCGTGCAGCGTAGAAGCCTCAGCAGGCCTGGGGGTAGACGCAGAGTAAAGGTAAGATGAAGAGGTAAAGATGCGCATGTAGGGGAGTGGGGCCCCAAGGGACTCGCAGCTAACCAGGAGACAGCTACCGGCAGCAGCAGATCGCCCCCAGAGTAATACGTTGCCGTGCTGCTGCTGCTGCTGCTGTTGCTGTTGCTGTTGCTGCTGTTGCTGCTGTTGCTGCCCACCAGAGAGAGACACATCTCGAAAGGGTCGATGGGCAAGCGCTCGGGTAGCTGGCGGAGACACTCGTCAGAAGCGGCCTCGCGGCTTGCTGCTGCTGCTGCTGCTGCTGCTGCTGCTGACGTGCCGCTGCTGCTGCTGCTGCTGCACGCTTCCATTTGCTGCAGACGGGCGAGGTAGCGGAGACAGAGACGCAGGGTACTTGCAAAGGCCTTCGCTTGCTGCAGCGGGGAGACGTTGGGAGTCGATCCCCAGCACTGGATAGGCGGCAGCAGCAGCCCCTCTGCTGCTGCAGTTTGAGCTGCTCCTGTCTCCTTCTTTGCTGCACCTCTTGCTGCTGCAGCAACTACACCAGCGCCATCTGCACCGGGAGCTTCGCTGCCGCTGCTGCCATCACCTACTGCTTCTGCTTCTGCTTCAGATGCTGCTGCTGCTGCTGCTTCAGGTGCTGCTGCTGCTGCTGCTGCATCTGTGCGCCTCGCTAGTGTCCTCGCAGCGCGGAGAGCCGCTGCATTCAGGATTGGTGCTGCTGCTGCAGCAGCAGCAGCTGCTGCTGCTTCCATATCTGCCGTTGTTTGCTGCTGTTGCTGCATGTGCTGCAGCAGCATGTTCACGTGACGCTTCTCCTGCACAAATATCAAACGCAGCTGCTGCTGCAGCTCCTGCTGCACCTGCTGCTGCTGTAGGGACTGCTGCACCTGCTGCTGCACCTGCTGCTGCCAGTAAGTGACAGGAGAACGAAAGGAGGCATCGGCGCAGCAACTCTGCTGCTGCGCCTCCGCTGACTGGAGGCCTTTTTCGGTGTCTCGTACAGCTGCAGCAGCAGCAGTAGGTCGCTGCTGCTGCTGCTGTTGCTGTTGCTGTTGCCGCATGGTAGAGGTAGTCGGTGAAGCATCCAGACCGCTGATACTGCTTTTGCTGCTGCTCCTGCTGCTGCTTTCGTTGCTGATGCTGTCTTTGCTAATGCTATGACAGTTGCTGCTGCCTCCGCTGCTATGAGGGTCTGTGCTGCAGCTGCTCTCCGTGCTGTAGCTGCTGCTGCTTCCGCTTTGGGTGTGTCTTAGCGCTGCTACAGCAGGGAGGACTTCTGCTGGAGTAGTAGTAGTAGCTGCTGCTGTTGCTGTTGCTGGTGCTGGTGTTGTTGTTGTTGCAGTAGCTGCTGCTGCTGCTGCTGCTGCACCGCGGGCGAGCATTCGGCGTTGAGAGAAGCCATAGGCATACTGCAGCAAAGCACCGGATCTGCATGCAGCAGCAGCAGCAGCAACGCTGCTGCTGCACCTACCTATCCAAGGTGCAGCAGGGGCCCCCTGGGCCCCCAGCAGCAGGGGGCCCCTGGGGGCCCCCATCCACGCAGGCAAGAGAGAGGAGACAGTACACCAGAGGCCCCACTGTCCAGTGGTGCTGCTGCTTGTCTGCAGTGTTGCTGCTGCTGTTGTTGCTGCTGTAGCTCCCTCCCCTCCTGCTGCTGCTGCAGCAAAAGCAGCACCAGCTGCTGCTCCTGATGAGCCTCCTCTAGATGCAGCAGCCCTTACTGCAGCCTCCGTTGCTGCTGCTACAACTGTCTCTTCCGCGCGAGCCGCTGCAGCTATGTATAAGCCTGCTGCGCCGCTAGCAGTTGAAGCAGCAGGTGCTGCTGCTGCTACTGCTGCAGCAGGCTCCGCTGCGGCCCCTGTTAGCTGTGCTGAAAAGAACGCGGGTTCTGCACGTGCTGCTGCTGCTGCAGGTGCTGGTGCTTCTGCTGCAGGTGGTGGTGCTGCAGGTGGTGGTGCTGCTGCAGGTGCTGCTGCTGCAGGAGCTGATGCTGCAAGTGCTGCTGCTGCAGGTGCTGCTGCAGGAGCTGATGCTGCAAGTGCTGCTGCTGCAGGTGCTGCTGCTGCTGCAGGTACTGCTGCAGATGCTGCCGCATGTGGTGGTTGAGGTGCTGCTGCTGCTGCAGGTGCTGCTGCTGTTGCAGGTGCTTCTGCTGCAGGTGCTGCTGCTGCTGCAGGTAGTGCTGCATGTGGTGCCGCATGTGATGGTTGAGGTGCTGCTGTTGCTGCAGGTGCTGCTGCTTCTGCTGCTGCTGCAGCCGCTGCTGCTTCTGCTGCTGCTGCAGCGGGTTGAGGCTGATGGTTGTCTTGCTGCTGAGATGGGGGTCCTGTTGCTGGCGTTTGCTGCTGCAGAGTGCTGCGGCCTTCGGGTGTCTCCGCACGTCCTGCCTCGATCCACTGCAGCGGCAGCAGCAGCAGCAAAAGCAGCAGAAGCAGAATAAGAACGTAAGAGGAGACAGATAATAATAAGAAGAGACAGAGGAGACTACGAGGAGACAGATAATAATAAGAAGAGACAAAGGAGACTAATAGAATATAAAGACAAGTAAAAGGAGACAGACGAGACAAACCAGCTCAGCCTGCTTAGAAAGGTTATAAGGTGCGAAGTGAGTGCGGAGTGTCTGAAGAGACACCGGAAGGAGACGAAAAGCAGCAAGACTGCAGCAACGAGCAGCAGGGACAGCAGCATTTAGAGACACAAGCAGCCGATTTGTCCTCCATTGCGGAATAAATGCACGTAATGCATGCAGCTGACGCTGCTGCAGAGACACCCCGTTTACTCTCTCGGGCTCAGCCTGCCATCCCTGCAACAACAAACAAAAAAGATAAACAAATAAACCTAACAAAACATTAAGGAGACAGAGAGGAGACAAAAAGGAGACACAAAAAGGAGACACAAAAAGGAGACAGACAGACAGTCAGCAACAACCAACGCCTCCAGGCCTCAAGAAAGAGACAAAATACTGCAAGGAGACAACACCAAATAACAGCAGAGAAGAATATAATAAAAGGAGACACTCGCTGACAGACAAAACAAACAAACAAATAATAAATATGCACATGCAAAGGCAATGAAAGACAAACATAAAACACGCAAGTCCTTCCAAACCCTAATAAACCCTAATAAACCCTAATAAACCCTTATAAACCCTTATAAACCCTTATAAACCCTAATAAACCCTAACAAACCCTAATAAACCCTAATAAACCCTAACAAACCCTAATAAACCCTAATAAACCCTTATAAACCCTAATAA